GGGGGGGGGGGGGGGGGGGGGGGGGGGGGGGGGGGGGGGGGGAGGAAACGGCCGGGCCCCGTCCACCGCGCTGCTTGCGTGCGGAATGCCTCCCAGCGGCCTCGTTAGGGAAACCTTTTCCTTCGCGGTAAACATTTGTCAGGTAGGCGTGAATATGCACCGCCCGCGGTGGTTGTCATTTGGGTAAAGTCTTGGTCACCACCTCTGCCTTTCTCTCTCTCCCTCTTGCATACCGTCGACGATAGTTGCTGTCGGGCATATGGCTCGGAGGCAGTGTAGGTGGTTTTTGCTAAAGGGGCATGGGGAGTGGCAGAGCAGTCGGTCCTATCAATACCTACGCCGCGGCAGACGACATGCAGAGCAATAAATCGATATAATGGTACCCCGACCACCACGGAGCCCCCCCCCCCTCTCTCTCTTTCTCTCACGGAGCACACTACCCTCGTTCGACTGTCAAGATGAAGGGGTTACGTATTAGCAATGCGGCGAAACGCCCCTGCCACCCCGAGGCAACGATCGGCCGTCGGTGATCGGTCCTGTGGGAACAACGCTCCGTCCTCTCGAGGACGCGTGGTAAAAGGTCTAACCGCTCAGGCATGCAAAATACCAAAGAGAGAGTACCCCCCCCTCGCTGACCATTAGTGTATCTCTTCCCCGCCCCGTTTGCTCCCGCCGCTCGGCTTTGTTTTGTATGTGTATGTGTGTGTGTGTTTTTTTTTATTTGCAGGCGTTCCCTTCACTTAAGGGCGACACGGTCAGCCTAATTGAGTCCATTCTCAAGAAACAGGTGGGTAGGGACGGGCTGGAGATGGGGGGCGTCGGTGATGGTGTCACTACCGCCACGTGTGTAGGTACTGTCGGTGTGCGCGAGGGCTAGAGCGTGGCACCCGTTCATCGGCGGCGCATTGACGAAAGTTGCACAGGTGTAAATGTGAAAAGACGGAACCTTGGTAGACGGACGCTACGGATTTAGGACCCTTTTCGCAGGTTTATTGACCTCCACGGCACTGACTCTCATATTTAGGGAGCAGTACCGAGTTTTGAACCCCCTCCCTCCTTCTTAGATTTGGTACGAATCCTTGCCATCGACTCCTAACCAGGTTCGAGCCTGCACCGAAATGCCTCNACGGCATGTGCGACTATGAGTACCCCCCCCCCCCCCCCCCCCCCCTCACCCCAAATCACGGGAGTCCCTTGAGCGTTGTTTTAGTGCTGAATATCGACTTGCCGCCTGCCGGTACGACTGATCTACTTGGCGTCACCCCGTCCCTCTTGCCCTGGTGTGCTTGGTGCCTGTGTGGGAGCAGGACCTCGCAAAGATGCACGGCGGGAAAGAGGCGGTGAGGCTCAGGAAACGCCTCACCAAAGTGTTGGCCACGATCAAGTCGACGGATGGCGGAGGCGGGGGCGGCGGCGGCGGTAGCAGCGGTACTGCCGCCGCCGGCGGAGATTGGCCCATGTCGGGGGCCCCTGCCTCGAAGAGACCTCGATTGGCTTGAGACACAAAGCACGCTGCCGGTGCTACCTCGGGTGTCTAAAAAGTATCGAAAAGGCAACAAATATTGCGGGGCAACGTAGGGGGACGGCGGTGGGTGAGGGTACTCCGAGGGAGATAAGACAGTCGAGTGTGAACATATAGCCATCACCTGGACATTCCCAATGCCTCCCCCTCACGCTTCTGGTGCATCCTTGTGAAATGTAGCCTGGGCCGGCGAAAACCCGGCATACACATCGCTCCTCCGTTCCGGCATTGTAGGCACGCCAGGTCAACGATCTACCGAACGGATGCGGCATGCTGAGTACACCCCACGATTCCCGAGTTTATTCCTGAGTTTGGTTGAAGTCTGCCGAATTCGATTTTGAGATTGTTTCATTAATATTCTCGTTGGAAAGCATCGGATCTATCTATCGATCTACCTGTCGATGCTGGATCCCGTTGGTACTTGGACCACGCGGCGCTTTGTGGGGTGTGGGGGGTTAGAGCACGCCCCCCCACCTGCTCTTGGTCCTTCTTTTCTTCGTAACGTAACTGTGTCGCCCTCTCTCGGCGTGGGTGCGGCAACCGACCGAAGCTGAGGTGGTATAGGTAGGTGGTGCCAAGCGTGCCGAGGCCAGACAAGAAGTTGTTGTTGTTGTTGTTGTTGTTGTTGTCGTCGTCGTCGGCTAACAACATTCAAAAACCATTCTGGTCTCCGCTCAGCACCTTCAAACATCCGTACTAGTTCAACTGACGCCCAGAAGCCTTCCGTGTGGGTTCGTGAAATGGGTAGTATATTGTCTCAAAAATCGCGAAGAGACGAGAGGTGCACAGACCACGAAGACATTGTCGTCGTGCCCGTCGTCGTTGTCGTCGTCGTCGTAAGTATGTGCGTTCGTTTGCATAGTCGTACAGTCACCGCCATGATGCCATGATGCTGATTCTCGCAAGACGGACGTCGTCATCATCCTCATTCACGCGACGACGATTGATTGATTTTTTGTGACGAACAACGTCGACGAACAAATAAATGAGAAGAAGACGTGACCACACAAAGATAACAGATCAGGGACACCAGAAGCAAGCGCGCGCGTGGTGATGGACGACACCGGGGGGGGGGGGGGGGGGGGGGGGGTACTCGTAGCCGTGCATGCCGTAGTCGTTAGTTCATCGACCTTGCATCCCTAAAAAGCCAGGACGGAGCACGCCGGGTTTTTACCGGACCAGGCTGGCACATGACCCGAGAGGGAGGGGGGCACTCATGTGTTGCGTGCCTTACTTGTTGTTTTGGGCCATTGACCACGCGCCCACGAGAGGACGGAGGGGGGCGGGGGGACGCAACTGGTTGCTTGCTTGTGGGAGTGGTTGCTGGTCTTGTCGGTGTGCAAGCGTGAGCCTTTGTTGGTGTTTGCTTTCGTGCTCGTGTCGCGGTCGCGTCTTCTTTTCTTTTTTTTCCCACGCGCTGCTGTGCGCCATGTCTTGTCATACTGTTGCAGACCTGCTGGTTGGAACGGGGCCCGCGGAACGAATGCCTCTCTCTCTCTCTCTAAATCTCCCTCTCTCTCGCTCTCTCTCTCTCTCGCGCGCGCGTTTTTTGTTGTTCGGCGTCCCTCTGCTCGAGCGTGGGTACCATCCATCTACTTCTCTCGCTCCCCGTTTTTCCCTGGCCCCCTAACTGTGTTGTCTCACGGTCTTGTCTCACGAGGCAGGTGTCGGCTTCGATCCCTGGTAGCTCGATTGTCTTCGTATCTCACGTTGCTCTTTTCCTTTTCCCATCTCGGTAACGCGCGTGCTCGTTCCCTCCCCCCAAAATAATAACAATACTCGCGGCGAAAACATCCGCACATGAAAAAATGCCAACAACACCCACAACAACGACGATGATGCACGACGATGCACGACGATGCACGACGATGCACGACGATGCACGACGATGCACGACGATGCACGACGATGCACGACGGCGGCGACGGCGGGAACGAATGGGCTCGAACGGATCAATCCACAGGGCTTCCTTCGAGCAGGCGATCGACGCTTGTGTTTCCCACCCGGACGGCCTTCAGCACGCCGGCGACCTGATCTCCAGGATGAAGAGCGTTGGCCACGATCTGCAGGTAAGTTAGGTTAGGTGTAACACTCCTGCATCTTTGGCTGTGCCCCCCTCAACGTTTTGTGTCTAAGACGTTGATTTTTTTCCGGTTCGTCGACCCAGAGTCAAGACTGGTTTCAAGTTTCGATATCAGGTGTTTATTCCGAGTACAACAACGCGCTTGCCTTTGTTGATTGGTACTTGCAAGGAGCCACGAGCGGCTGGAGGCCAAAGAAAAGGTTACGAGGTTTTTCCTAGCCCTCCTGTGATGATGACGGGTGTATGGCGTGCTTGAAGGGGGGCATCACGTGAGTACGAAAGATGCGATGGGTGCACACTCTGCATGACTTGATGACGCTGTTGACTCTTCACTTTGCTGCGCGCGCGGCCTGTGGTAGTCTGTGGTAGTCCGTGGTAGTCTGTGGTGGTCTGAAGGCCTACCACTACTGCTGCTCTGCGCGACACACAACGATGACGCTTCTTTTTTTTTTTGTTACAATCACACAACATGTCCATCGCTGCCGGAGATACATAGAGCCCTGGTGCGTTTTTGGCCGTTCCAATTGTTATGTCGGTCTAACTGCAGGCCGACCACTACAACGTCCTCATCCGCGGCTTCGGGGACGCGCGGAACCTGGGGGCCGCGCTGAACGTCTTCCAGACAATGCGGGAAGGTGTGGCAGTCGGGGGGCCCGGGGGTGGGGCGCGAAGCCGCACGCTGGGGTGGGAAGTGGAAGAGGACATGTTCGCGGCCCTCGTAGGAGCTTGCACCAGGAGGTACGTGCGGTGGTACGGTATATAGTAGTACGGTTTCTTCCATTTTTTGTCGGAGCATG